GCTGCCAATAAAATTCCAGGTTCAGTGATTTAAAGTATTTACCATGAATATGCTAGAAATATAGGAAATCCTGTGAATTCTCTATGAGAATCATAATCAGAACAAAAGTATTGTCAGGAGAAAAAAAAGAACCACCACTGCTAGCGAGATCAAAGGTGACATGGAGGGTGCAATCAATTTTATTTAATTTTGTCTCATTTCATTTCTCCATAGCCTTGTTGGGTTGATTTTGTATCCTTAAATTAATGGTTTTTTTTTTGAGACAAGGTTTCACATGTAGTTCAGGCTGGCCTTGAGCTCACTGTATTGCCAAGGCTGGTCTTGAGTTTGCAGTCATCCTCCGGCTTCAGCCTACAGAATGCTTGGATTTTGTATCCTTAAATTAAAAGTAATAACATAAAGCATACATGAGATCTTGGAAAAACCGTTTAATAATGACAAGCAGCCAGCTGAGAGGCGACTGTAACCGATCCCCTCAGGAGCAGGGAAGCTATAAAAAGGACTCGGTGTGTGCCGACCCCACTTCCATCCAGAATTAAAACCAAATGATTGAAGACATTGTGGTGGGAAACAGAATTCAGTGTCACAAACCCCACCAGACCCAAAAAAATAGAGGTGCAGGATCCCTTACCCAAAATGCTTGCTACAAGAAGTGTTTCATATTTCAGGTTTGTTTTGGATTTTGCAATAGCTGCATATACACAATGAGGTATCGGGTGTGAGACCCAAGTCTAACCACAAAGTTCCTCTATGTTTCATATAAACTTTCACACATAACTCTAAGTTTTTCTCATACTAGGGATTAAACCCAGGGCCTTGCTCTGACCTATATCCCCAGCCTTTTTATTATTTTTTATTTTGAGACAGGGTCTCAAGAAGTCACTAAATTACCCAGACTCCCAGAATGCTGGGATTATAGATTTGTGCCATTGACAAAGAGAAGACATTGATGAAAGATGTATCTGATAAGGGCCCACTACCCAAAATGTACAAAACCCATACAGCTCAACAATAAGGGAGTGAACAACGCAATTAAAGATGGGCAGAGATCTGAACTGATATCTCACCAAGGAAGAACAGATGGCAAATAAACATATGGAAAGTTGCTCTACCTCCTCTGTCAGTAGGGAAATGCACATGAAAACAACAATAAGCTGGGCAGAGTGGCACACAGCTCTAGTCCCAGCACTCCGGAGGCTGAGGCAGGATGATTGCTGCAAGTTCAAGGCCAGCCTGGGCTATATAGTTAGTTCAGGGGCAGCCTGAACTATACAGCAAGACACTGTCTCAAAAAAAAAAAAAAAAAAAAAACAATAAAATACCAGTATAGTACACACCCATTAAATATTCCAAATCCAAAACACTGGTAATACCAAACACTGACAAAGACATAAAGCAATAAAAATACTAATTCACTCTTGCAGAGATGCAAAAAGTTACACCTACTTTGGAAGAGTGTCTGGCAAGAGTGCTTAGTTTCTAATAAAAATAAACTTTTGGTTTTGGCAGTACTAGGGATTGAACTAAGGCCTTCACACTGTGCTACATCCCAAGCCCCTTCAGCCCCTTTCTTTTTTTTTTTTTTTTTTTTTTTTTTTAGACATGGTCTTGCTAAGTTGAAAAGTTGACCAAGTTAGGCTTGGACTTGCAGTTCTCCTATCTCAGCCTCCCGTATACTCCTATACAATCTGGCAGTTACGCTCCTTTTTTTTTTCTTTTTCGTTCCTTGTTATTTACACAAATAAGTTGCAAATTTATGGCTTCACAAAACACAGCACACATATGTTTGTTGCAGTTACATTCATAGTTGCCAAAACTTAGAAACAACCAAGATATCCTTCAGTAGGTGAATGAATGAAGTGTGGTCTATCTAGACAATTTACTCAGTGCTTAAAAAAATAACCTATCAAGCTTTGAAAAGACATAGAGGGACCTTAAATGCCAATCACGAAATGAAATGTCAATCTGAGCCAGGCGTGGTGGCACATGCCTGTAATCCCAGCACTCGGGAGGCTGAGGCAGGAGGATTGTTGCGAGTTTGAGACCAACCTGGGCTACAAAGTGAGCTCAAGGCCAGCTTGAACTGTATAGCGAGACCCTGTCTCAAAGAGACAAAAAAAAATTAATGGGGTGGGGATTTAGCTCAGTGGCACAGCGCCTACTTGGCAAGCGCAAGGTCGTGAGTTTGATTCCTGGTACCAGAAGAAAAACAAAACAAAACAAAACAAAAACAAAAACAAAATTTTTTTAAAAAAAGAAATGTCAGTCTGAAAAAGGCTTCATATGTATGGTTCCAACTCTGTCACCCTGAAAAATGAAAACTATGGAGATGGTTTAAAAATATCAGACATAGCTGGACGTGAGTTGTACACCTGTAATTTCAGCACTTGGGGAGGCTGAGGCTGAGAATTGCAAGATGGAGCCTAGCTTGGGCAACCTAGAGACTTAGTAAGACCCTATCTCAGGGGATATAGCTCAGTGGCATAAGTGCCTGCCTGGCAAGCCCGAGGTCATGAGTTCAATCCCCGGTACCGCAAAAAAAAAAAAAAAAAAAGAAAAAGAAAAGACCCTATCTCAAAATTAAAGGTTTCTAACAGGGCTGGGGATGTAGCTCAGTGTGACAGCCCTGGATTCAATCCTCATTACTGGAAAAAAAAAAAAAAAATCAGTGGTTGCTACAGGTTTCAAAGCAGGAGAGAGGATATGAGGAACACAGGATTTTAAAGTAGAGACCATCATGGTGGACACATGTCACTAGACATTTGTCAAATCCCACAGAGTAGGGCTGAGATGTCCAGCAGGTGCAAAGCCCGTAGTTTGACCCCCAGCACCACGCACATAGACACACACAAATATCAGCTATGGGCCTTGAACAATAATGGTGTGTCCATGTGGGCTCACTGATTGATAATAAATGTACCAGTCTGGCGTGGGATATTGATTAGGAGGCTTTGTGTTACAACCTGTATCTAGATGTCCCCTCAAAGTGTCATGTGGTCATAGGTGGGGCATTTCAGAGTTGGCTGGATCTACGGTGTGTGATGCTGAGATTAAGGGTGTGATGCTGGGATTCAGGGTGACCCAGCCTGGCTGTGGCTGGCATCACCCAAAGGACAGGTAGCCTGGGTGGAATACGAGGAGGCACCCTTGCTTGCTTGCTACTGCTTCTGCTGTTTTGCTACTTGTCTGCTGCTGCCTCCTGCCTGTCCTGTGACGCCCCTCTGCCGTGCCACCCTGCCTTGGAGCTAGCCAGTTATGGACCGAAACCTCTACAAACCATGAGCTACATAAACCTTCCTTCTTTCAACTTTGGATGTCAGGTATTTTGTCTCAAGCAAGGAGAAAAGTAACTAAAATGAGGGAGGAGGGCAGTAAATTTGTGTACTTTCTGCAAACCTAAAACAACTGAAAAATAGCCTCATATGTGGCACATGTCTGTGATTCTAGCACCCAGGAAGATGAGGCAGGAGGATCACTGCAAGGTCAAAGCTAGCCTGGACTACAGAGTAATACTGTCTAA